ATTATTTATGTTGGTCTCTGTTCCTCTATTCATTCTGGATCATATCTTTTGATCTGTGTTCCTCTCTATTTATTCTTGATCATCTTTATTTATTCTGTATTATCTCTATTGCTCTGTGATCCTCACTAACCGTCATATCTTTGCTTGGTCCCCAATCATTCGTGGTGTTGTAGTCTCTGGTTACTCGTAGCCATTCTTAATCTGTGAAAATATGTTCTCACCACTGGTTCTTCGTGATCAATCATCATTAGTGATGTTTACAATTGAGATCTGATAAACTCTGATGTTTCGTGATTTCCCACAATGATAAGTGGTCTCTGTTGCTTCTTCTTTTAACCATTATCGTTTGTGATCCATACAAGTCTTCCTTGATCTTCTCTTATCTGTAATCTGTGGTCCTCTAAAATTGACCTATGATGCGTTAACTCCTGATCATTCTTGTTCCCTGGCGATCCTTAAATGTTAGTGATGGTTTACGACGCTTCGTAATGATCTATGATCTTTCCTAATTGCCACCGATGGTCCGTGAGGATATTCGATCAAGTGTGATGATCATTGATGATCCGTGCTCATCAATGATCTTCCGTGATCCTCACTGGTCATCCATGATTATCGTCAGTTTGTGGTTGTCTGTGATCACCTGTGTTTCCGCGGCATTGCCCCGTGATGCATGATACTGCAAGATTGCTCGTGATCAGCCTTGATCTATGACTATCTACCAACCTCGGCGATGCTCCATTATAATCTGTGATCGTCTAGGAGATTCGTGGAAATGCTCGCCAGTTAATGATAACTCGTAATTTCTTTTATGAATTTTAATGGTCTGTGATCCTCTCTACTCCTTCCGGATCATCTGTGTTAGCCTGCGATTCTCACTGACGATCGCGATCTTTGCTGGATCCTGATCATCCGTGGTGTGGTGGCTTCAGGTTGCTCGTGACCCTCCTTGATCCATGCAAATCACCGATCATCAGCGATGGCTCCTTGTGATCCATGCGCATTAGTGATGCTTACAAATGAGATCCGCGATTGTGCTTGACGGTATATAATCATCTCTATCCATCCCGCGTCATCCATGATCGTCTGTGATCTACACTGATGATCCGGGATCCCTGATGGTCCCCGGACCCCTCTGTCTGTGGATATTATCGATCATATTTAATGGTTATTGGTGATGTTTTTCGATTTTTTCCGATGGTCTGTGGTGGTCCGTAATCCGTGGTCGCATGTTCACATGTGGTTCTCCTGTGAAACGTGATCATCTGTGCTGGTTTCTCAGAGTGCCCGATAATACATGATGATTAGAAAGTATCCGTCATGACCTGTGCTCGATCGTCTGTCATTGTCTAAACGATCTTGGATCAGTGATCGTCCCTGACTACTCGTCATCATCCTTTACCCGTGCCGGTCTCTGATCATCCACGATCGTTCCCTGATCGTCTGTCATGGCTACAGATGGCCCGTGCCATCATCAATAATAATTAGTGACGTTTCGCGACCTTTTGGATCTTATTTGGTTGCATCTTCTACTCATTGATGATTCGTGATTTTGCATAGACAACTGTGATCCTTGGGGCCCGTGAATTTACATGATCCTTCTTGATCCATGCCAATTTGTGATAATTTGTGATGCCGTCATCATTCTTCTGTTGTCATTCGTCTTGGTCGCTGATGTTGCTGAGCCATTCTTGGCAATATGCGATCATATATGATGATCCGTGGTGGAGCTTGAAGTTCTTTTGACATTGTCTATGATCCCTGATCCCCGCTGGTTTGTCTTAGTCTGTGATGCTTGCTCAGCTTTCCCAGTCAGACTCAATCCCCTCTAAACAGGTGGGTTCCTGTCAGGTTGAGACTCTAACAACTTCTAAGCCTTCCCTTCCATCCTTCACGGCCTCGGACTCGTTCCGTCTCGTCCCCAAAGACTGCATCTTCCCCGTTTGTCTGCCGTCCTTCGTGCTCGCATTAATTACTCTCGGTTGGCAACTCGAGTCTCGTCAAAGCGATTGACGAGGCAGTTAAGCCTCATTCTCATTGGCTGCCAACGCCCGGCTGGGCTTCGTCCGAGTCCCATCTGCACCCCGACGCGGTTCGAACCCCGCTGCCGGGCACCACAGACTAGACTGTCATTGTGTCGCCGGGCGAATGTTGCTTTCAGGCAGGCCGGGATTGGGCAATCGGCCTTGAAGCCACCTTTAAAACATGAGTAAGAATGACTCATCTTAGGCCGAATGGGATCTTAATGATGATCCCTACATCTACTCACTAGGCGTCAAGTAGTATCGTCCGTTGTAATGTCGGACACGGATTCGTCGCATCGAAAGACGTCCCGCCTCGTGGTTTTGGTTCCTGCTGACGCTGTTTCATGCACAAACGAACACAAACACACAAATACACGTATGTTGACGTATGAGCGTTACTAACCAAACCACTTCACAGCTGATCAAAGAAGCTGTGTTTTGTTGACTCGTGAGCTTCAATTTGGTCGTGACGATGATAGCTTGTTGTGATGATGTTCGTCATGTGACGGACGAAAGCCTAGCTAGCACCTTTTCGCCGGAATCGAAGGAGGTTGCCTCGGCAACAGCGTCAACATGACTGTTCCAGACAAGCCAATCGACAGTTGGTCTTCTGGTGAAACCGACCTTCGGTTCTGGTTCCTATTTTTTTAGTGTAATGAGATGTATTCACCCTATTTCGTGTAAGGTGATGAAGGACTGGTAGTAGAATTTTCC